TTCAGGAGGGATGTGGACAACATGGAGAGGGTCCAGAGGAGGGCCACCCGCATGATCCGGGGACAACAGGGCAGACCCTACAGTGAGAGACTGCGGGACTTGAACCTATTCAGCCTCCACAAGAGAAGGCTGAGGGGGGACCTGGTGACCGTCTATAAACTCACTAGGGGGAACCAGAAGGGTTTGGGGGAGACGCTGTTTCCCCTAGCCCCCGCTGGCATAACAAGGAGTAATGGGCACAAGTTGATGGAGAGGAGGTACAGATTGGACATCCGAAAAAACTACTTCACAGTTAGGGCGGCTAGGAGCTGGAACCAACTTCCAAGGGAGGTGGTGCTGGCCCCTACCCTGGGGGTCTTTAAGAAGAGGCTGGATGCCTACCTGGCTGGACTCATTTGAGTCCCATTTTTGTTTTTAGGGTTTTTTGTTGTTCTCCCGCCCTGGCGGGGGGTCGGGCTAGAAGATCTATTAGGTCCCTTCCGACCCTAAAACTATGAAACTATGAAACTATGAATAAAGACTTGAGTAAAGAAAATCATAATCATTAAATATTAATTCTACTGCAAAATACAGAGCCTAACCAAGATCAGGGCTCAGTGTCTTCTCTGGGAGAGAAGATACATTCTTAACTCAGATTATCCTAAGCCAAATGAACTAGCTTGAAGTCAAATCCCAAGTAACACACAGCAGTTTGTCAGAATTTCTTTTTATTTCTAAACCAAGAAATCTGATTTGAAATGACTTAGAGAATGAATATGAAAGTACAAATTGTTTTCTTTTTACAGATTTATGTGGGTGTCTGCAGCAGTATTACCAGCTGTTGTGATTTCACTCTGAGGCTCACTGTATTTTGGGTCATTCTGGCAGCCCTGGGAGGATAATGGAGGAGCGGTCATAGCTTCAGAGATGCTTGAGCCTTACTTGTGCCAAAAATTGCTCAAACATTAACCCAACTTTAAAACGGTACTTAGTTACTGGGGCTGAGGAGACAGCTATATTGCTCCCTGTGTTCTGCTTGCTACAGAAACTACTGTTCTTTTAAACATGCCAGTCTTATGGACACAACCATTCAATTAAAAAAATAAAAAAGTTGAATAAAAAGAATAAAAAAGTTTGAGATAGTGGATAGGCAGCTGGGTTGTGATGCTTACATTGCACAATTCAGTGTCTTACTGAGATTGCCTGAGGTAGCTAAGGCATCAAAATCATTATAGCTGGATTAGGGTGGTTTTCTACTTGGAATAATTGACTCTGTTTCTCAGGGCAAATGATTAATTTTTTTAGTGATAAATTATTCTAGTTGGAGCTCTGCCCAGATACGGTGATACTGATTCCCATATAAACTTGCTAGTCCACCTGTCTTTACATGGTACTCCATTAAACAGTGTAGGCATTCTCTGAAGCAAGAGATGAAGGTTCTATTCCCAGTTCTACACTGGCCTCTTATGTGACTCTGGGCAAGACATTTACCTGCATCTCCCTTTCTCTGATGTATATTCCTCTGCCCCAGTAACTGTTTTGTATTCAAAATGGAGCATCTACAACAGGGGAGAGAGGCACACACAGAGACTAACTCTATAGCTTAGTAATAAGGCATTCACCTTGGCTATAGGTGACTAGATTCAAGTCCATGCTTCAGGTCAGGCAGAACAAAGACTTACATTTGGGACTGCATATCCCAGGTTAGCGCTTTAGTTTCTGGGTTATTGGTTGTTATGCACTGAATGCATTTCATATCTTTTCATGAAAAAAAATTGGAAAGCTCTCAGTTTTGTTCCAAATCAGAATGAAAACAAATGCTGAATTCTGAATTTTGCATTCTGTAATTTTGCTTTCCTGCCAGCCCTATTAGAAAGCAGTTTCTTTCTTGAACCTCCACTTAGTCTGAGGGGAAGCCTTGTGCTACTGTGACAACAGAAAGATTTTCCCCCTTTCTTCTGTTTTCTTCTTAGAGCAGTGGTGCCCATCCTTCCAGCCCTGTGGACTGGATTAATGGTGCAAAATTCATCAGTGGGCTGGGTCCCATGAAAGTTTCATGCATAGGGATGGTCTGCTGGCCTGACCCTGCATGCAGCCACCCAACCCTGTACACTGGGATCTGGCTGTGTACCAGCCCAAGTCAGCTATTCACCTGGATTCAGCCATGGAGCAGCTCCACCATGGAAAGGGCTATATGACCCAACCTGTGGAGCTCCCTATGGGTCAAGAAATTTGCCAGCAAGGAAGTGACAATTAATGCTGCCACCCCTCTCCTGCTTCCAAATTTCTGAACCCATGGAAAGCCCCACAGGCCAGATGACATGGCTCCATGGGCTGGATCTTGTTGGCACTGGATTCACACCCCAGCCCCAATACCTTGCTCTGGGTGAGCACAACCTTCAGACCAGCCACAACTCCTCCGGTCGATAATAGGTGAATTTTATTGGTATGCAATGATAGGAAATAAGAGCACTGCAGTCAAAGGCCATGTGTAAATGACATAAGAGGCATGTGTGCATGACAGTTTAAAGCAGGCTAAATGCTTTTGCACTTCTTTAATGGCATCAGTGTTTGCACGCCTCAGCAGTGCAATGCACCTTAAATGACTTGGGGCTCAGCAAACTAAAACTCCTTCAAGGAGTTTTAGTTTGCTGCCCCTACAGCTGCA